AAAGCATTGCTTTTTAAAGCAATTTAAAGCATTGAGTTTAACTATTCAGAATCTCTGGAAATAGCAAATTTAAGGATTTCTTTCAGGTTTTGCTGTTGTTATTGTTGTTTCTAATAGAGATTTTAAAGAAACCTGGTGAGTTTCATGTGTTTAAGATGGATTTAATCTATTTGGTACTGAAATAGCAGCAGATGGGGAGTCCATTCATTCTCTAGGGGGCCCAGGGCTCCGAGGGTTGTAGACCCAGGCTCAAGGCTCAGAACTTAGAGAAGTTTGGGGTTCAGGAATGCTTAGAGGTGTTTAGATCCTAAGACTGTCATTAGTATTATGTCAGGTAACTTATGGACTATTTTGCGGACTGGTCTATGATCTAAATACCATTTATGATTTTTGTGTCCATGAGAAAATATATTTCAAGCTTTAAGCCAATTTATGGGATATAATCTGTTGGTAAAAAGTATACGTAATATGTATTACTATTTAAGAAGTAGTATGTACCAATATAGAATAGTCTATAATACATTTGACTATATGGTATATACTTTCATATATGAGTATGTGTCATATTCTCATCATTCTCAGTTCTTCATTACAGATTGGCCTGGTTTGTGATAGGAAAGGGAACTCCTGTCCATTTATCAGTCATCAAATACAGTTAGCTTTCCTAGAACCTGTTTGGAGCATGTGCGCTGATACTGGCATCAACCCCAGTGATGTTCATGGTGCTGTCATAGGTGCTGGTGGCAGTGATCACAAGAGAAATGGTGTCTCTGTCCTTCTAGAGTCTAAATTCTGTAGGTGAGAGTTAGAACCTTAGATGATATCTTGACACTCTCATTCTACGAGTGACTCTGAACAAGTCATTTAATGTTTCCTGCTCTGTCAAATGGCAAAACCAATACTGATTGTCCATTCGTTTCATTGAATTGCCCATGCTTCTGTTTCAAAGTAAATATGTGATTTTAGTGAAGTTGGATAGCAATATTTATTTTATGTCTTATTTCAAGGGCAGCTTTTACCAAAGATCTGTTATCCAGGGATAAATAATTGTAAAATATGAGTATACGGTATATACTTTCTATGGTATAGAAAGTGAGGCACGTTATTCAATGACTAACACTGTGTCCTGTGCCCAGCTAATGCTTGTTAATGGAACTGGTTAATAGATTTTTATTTAAAGACATGTTTGAAAGCATGCAATCCCGAAATAATTCAAGTTATCTTACTTGTGATCACAAATGGGATATTTTACAAGTTCTGTAACTTTTTTTTCTATTGGAATTGTATGAGAGAACTGACTTAAGACCCCAATTTCATCCCAACTTAAAATATGTGCCTTGCCTTGGGCTTGTGGAGGTGAGCCAGACATCTCAAGAGCTCAGATGTCTGAGGAGGACTGGCTCTTGGTTCAAGCTGATCTCTACACATGACCTTGCATCTCAACAGCTTCATTTCCTTACAATCAGGACACAGAAGCGAGTAACAGGGAAGGTGGCTTTTCTCCAGGGCCATTAGATCTCAGAATGGGATCCCTTCTCAGAGTTTGGGTCTTTGATTCTTGAACTGTTGTCTCTGTACCCTTGTCACCTCCACCCTGCCTTCCTGAGGATTTGAATGTCCTGCTTGGCATGACCCCATGGTTTATGGGGAGAGAGGACATTCACATGAAAATATAAACAACAGATAGTGTAGGAAAAGGAGCGAATGTGTGAGGGAAATTGACGAAATCAGACAGTGGGGATGGAGGTACAACCTTGTGAATATACTAAAAACCACTGAGTTGTACATTTTAAAAGGGAGAATTTATGGCATGTGAATTATACCTCAATCTAAGAAAATATGTGATGCACCAAGTATTTGAGCAATTCAGATGAAGGGAGTCCCTCCGGCTGTCAGACATCTCACAGAGGTGTTGGTCCTTGAGCAAGACCTTGAAAGCTAGGAAGGAGTCGGAGGAGCGAGTCAGGGAGAGCAGAGTGAAGATGGGGAGGATGGCAAGCTCACGGTCCTGCTAGAAGAGGAGGAGCCCAGATGGTCGGGTGGGAAGCACAGGGAGAAAGGGACAGAAGGATGGAAAGAGCAGTTGGGGCCAGATTACACAGGCTTTGATGTTGCTTCAAGCAGCATATGGGCAATAAACAACCCTTTGACAGTTTTACATCTGGGATCTGACACATGCCTACCAACGGCTGAGGAAGATCAATTTGCTCGGGCCATATAGGATGGATTTGGGAGGAGACCTCTTGGCGGCCATCATAGCACTCTGGGGTAGACAGTTAAGGTGGCGGTAAAGTGGAAAAGCAGGACAGATTAGATAGATGTTGTAAAGGAAGAGCAGACAGGACTTGACACCTGATTGGACATGGAGAGTGAGGGAGCGTCAAAGACCGCTCCAGAGTTTTCAGCCCAGGACTCTACTAAGGAGGCAGCAACTAGACCAGGGGTTGGTTTAGGGGAGAAGATGTTGAATTCAATTTTAGGCATTCTGGGTTTGGGAAAAGGATGGGACCTCTAAGTGGACACTGAGCCAAGAGTAGCATGCACGGCCATCCCAGAAGCAATTCATTCACAGGACAGGAAACCAGGCCCAGAGGCTCTTGCCCAAGTGTTTAGAGCTAGCTGAAGGCAGGTCAGAGCCAGAATCCTGCCTGGAGCTCTTTCTGCCTCACAGGCAGCTGGTTCAGAGGCGAGGCTAGCGCTGGGGAGGGAGGTGAGATGGAGACGGCGAGTTTGCAATCCACAGCCGAGGCGAGAGTAGAAGGCGTGGGAGTGGAGGAGTCTCTGCAGAGGAATGGAGTGAGGAGAGCAGGAGGCAGAGGGCAGAGGACCCAGCCTTGCCACGTGTCCTCATTTAGAGGATGCGAGAAGGAGGCAGAATGCAGGGACAGACCAACTCCTGACAATAAGACAGCAGTGTCACTGAGCCAAAGGGTGGGAGCCCCGGGGAGAAGCACAGTGCTTGCGTGAGAAGGAAGCTTTGTGATCACCCAAGCACGTTCTTGCCTTTCTCCTCCAGCACCGCCCACAGATGCAGCTCCAGATGCTTCAGAGATGCTAAAGAGAACGCAGAGCAAGGCCACTGGATCCGGCCTTCGGAGACTGTGGAGAGTGCCGTCTCAGAAGTGTGCCATGAAAGGAAGCTGGGAGGAAGGACAAGGAAGAGGTGTTGTGTTCTGTTTTTAAAATGGAAGATGGCTTTGCGACGTAGGAAAAGTTACTAATGGAAAGAGAGAAATTGAAGATGCAAGAGACAGGGCTGGATCCCAGAGGTCTTGGAAGAGACGGGGTGAAGCCTACTTTAGCAAGTAGGAACTCTCTCTAAAGGGAGAGAAAAGTGGGTGAAGTCAGAGCTTTTTTGATGGTGGGGAGAATGGATGACAGAGCTCAAGCGGGAGGGTCTCATTTTTTCAATGAAGGAGGAGGCGAGACTATCTCTTGTGATTATCTAGTAAATACTCATTTTCTCTTCTTTCTTACTAACAGAACCCCCGTATTGTCTAGGTCAGCAATGTGCCCAGTTAAAACACCACATTTCCCAGCCTATTTTACAGACAGGGGTGGTCATGTGACTCAACTTAGGCCGTGGAGAAATCACAGATGAGTTTTCTGGGAAAGCTCTTTAAAGAGAATGTCTTAAGTATCATGTGCCCATTTTGCTCCTCCTCCCTTCTTCTTCTTTCTTTCCTGGAATATAGCTTTGATGGCTGGAGCTGCAGCAGCTATCCTGTGACCATGAAGTGACCTTGAGGATGAAAGCCAGTGCTAAGAATGGCAAAACAGAGAGAAAGAGGTCAGGACATTGATGACATTGTGAAGCCACCACACTGACCATGGATTGCCTACCTCTGGACTTATTTTGTATGACAGAAAAGACATCTCTTTGTCTAAGCCACTGCTATTTGGGGATTTTATTACTGGAAGCCAAACACAATTCCTGTCTGGTAAGGTTGGAGGCCGGTGCGCATGTGTGTGTTTATGTTAGAGGTGGAACACAGAACAAGTGGATTAGGGGCTTTGAAGTTCTGCATTTCTCTAAAGTCATTTGTGAATTGAAAAAGTTGAGAATCACAGTTATAAGAAACCAGTCTGGATGTCTGTGATCAGAAAACCCTATTATTATCCAGATGGGTGTTTACACAGTGCAAATTCATTGAATGCAAGTTGGTCTTACTCTTCCCTACACCTTGTTGACCCTGACAATATCTATCTTATAAAGACAGAGGTTTATATCTGATGCCATCAGCAGTTTTTATTGAAGGAGGAAAATATTTTATTTCAACTTTAAGATCAATTCTGCAAACATTGATTAAAACATGAAAGGCACTTAAATAAGCATAATTGTTTCTGGAAACATGCAATGTTATGTGTTATGTTGTGTTCACTATTGCTCAGACTTAGGACTTTGAATCCACTAGAGTTTAAAATGCCTTTTTTTTTAATGCCAAAATCTTTGACTATTGTGAAATGCCAACCCAGAATCTCTTGGGAAAATGGTTAGTAAGGTTTCAAACTTATTAATATTATTATTTTTTACTGCAGACTAAAACCATCTCCAGTCATACAGAACCCAGAAAACATGTCTCCTTCGATATGCCAGCTGGCCTCTAGGTTTAACCATCCATCCTAAAACATCCAGGGCAATTAAGAGAGTTGTTCGTTCCTATCTTCATAAGCAATACCAAGTATCTTTTAAAAAGTCAACAATTGATGGACGAAAAGTCTTTGCATTAGCAGAGATGCTCACCTGTTTTCTAATCCATTCTGTATGTAATTTCTGGGATTTATGAGATTGAAAAAATAATTCCATTTGAGGCCATTTATCTAGTTGTGTGGCAGTTGCAAATTCAGTCACTCCAGAAACAATGTAATCTTCAACCTCCCCGTTATTTTTAATGTCTGGGTTAATGTACTATTGACTCGTATTTGAAAACCCATCTTGGCTATATTATCAGGATCAGGTACAACAGGCAAGTAGACAGAGGACTTACTTATTTACAAAATTGTTAGCATCTTTGACATTTATTTGAAAGAAAGTGACGCTTCAGCTTATTTAATATTTCAACGATCACTTAATCTTATAAGACAGAGAGACATGTTTCAAGGGAACAAATGAGAGGCAGGTTTTTTACGAGGTAACATGGAAAACAGCATACAATGCCACACACAGACCTCCAGGGCAGGTGGAAGGCACCAGGAGGAATGAGAATCCATTTGAAAGGCTCTCTCATTTGGACAAGAATATGCTAGACTCCCACAACTCGTAGGGACTTAAAAAATGTAAACATTGATTTGATTTAGGCTCCTCTTCCAACAGTTTTAAGGCAGCAGTCAAAAAAGTATATTTAACATTTTTTCACTTATTCTCTTTTCTTACCCGATCAAGAACTCAATGGGTTACACCGTGTACTCACGTGGATGAATGAAAGACAGCTAATTTTGGAAGTATTTCTTCAGCTATTAATGCGAACCCCTGATACGTTCTAGCTAACTCAAAAACTGCGAGCCAAGATGGCGACGCATTGGGTTCCGGTGAAAAGGATGGTTTGTGGGCTGAGCTCCAGAAAGGGGCAGCCGAGTCACAGAGAAGCGTCCACTGCGGTGGGGAGCAAGGAGGTGTGAGACCCACAAAGGATCGATCAGATCTGCCCTTTGAAAGCCTCCGTGTCCGCCAAATGGTGAGCCCCGAATGGCTTGAGTTCCAGCATTTTCTTGGAGATGCCATCACGAGCCCCTGCTCCCAGGACACCTACTGCCAACTTTGGCAAATCCATTTTTCTTGCAGTTGAAGGCCCAGGCCCAAGGTATGAAGAGCTAAGGGAGGCCAGAGAAGGGTCCTGACCCACTCAGGTCTCCACAGGAACACGGCTCATAAAATGGGGTTTGCTTCTTGATTCGAACCCCACTCCGCATCCTTAACACAACAGGGAAAGACCGCAGTGCACTTAGTGGGGCAGGGCAGCGCTCTGAGAAGACTCTCCCTTTGTGCTATTCTGGATCAGAACAGGTATCAGGCATTTTGCTGGCACAGGGTGGGGATATGCTGTCATTCTCACAGGCTGAAATGATTACTTTTGAAAGCTGAATGAGCACTTTTCAAGTGGGCACTGCACAAATGCTGGCCGATCCCCAGGCACAGAGCAACATGTCATCATGCCCCAGATGCAGGCTACTGGCTGCCCCGATGCTCCTTCCAACATCCTTCCTAGGGACCAGGGCATTCAGGCGAAATTCAGCCTTCAAGTGCCTGGAAAGCCTGCGGTCCCCAGAGCATTTCTTGGGGAGTGAAGGCAGATGAATTTTTAAATAACAAAATGAGTGTGTGCGTGTATATGTTTGATAATGGTCCAAACTTTAATAGCATGGTAAAATATTTATCTTATTTTTTTTATAGCTAGCATGCAATCAATCTGTAACACACTGAGAGAATTTAGATCAAAGTCTACTCATCCACAGCTAGACAGAAGCACTCAACACTAAAAAAGTATGTATCTGTTAAAGGGAAATGCAGACCCATCTCCAGGCAAGTCACTGTCCAGGAATCCTCCCTCCACCCAGTGGGAACAAGGGAACTCCTGGGAGCACAGTCATTCATTCCACAGACACAGAGTGAAGGGCTGTGGGTATTTCTCTGGTTTGGGGTTTTAAGAAGTTAATTATCTTAGCAAATTGGCCCTCTCAAGTTACTCTCCCCCTTGGACTCTGAATAGCATGATTTATTTTACCAAAAGTCCCAATCCCCTCTTTGATAAATGATGCCAAGTGCGTCCAGGGGACCAGGTTGAGGGTGGGGGTGGGGGACTGATAATAAATTTTAGGGAAATATTCATTATGTAAAGACAAATGAATGATGATCCTTGCTTCTTGGATTTTTTCATAAGGAGGTGGGAGAAAGGGCTGCTCGTGGGAAATCAGCAACCATTGAAGTGGAAATTGTTGGACATGGAAGGACTCTAAAGACCATTGTCTTCATCCTCCTGGTGAAGAAGTTGAAACGGACCAGGCCACACAGATACCAGAGTGAGAACTGAGCCGTCCTTCTCTTCTCGCCAGGGCCAACCCTCTCCGGGGGTCCCTGACGAATAGGTGGAAGGAGGCAAAGAGCGGGGCTGGTTCGGGGAGTTGTGGAAGGCACATTGTGGGGCTGTTGCTCTTTGCTTTGAGGCAGTGTGTGCAAGGAGAATCCCTGTGCATTGATGACTGGGAGTGTGTGTGGTTGTGTAATGAGGGGCTCTGTCCCCCTTACTATAAATTCCAAGTGAGCACAAATAGTTAGGAGGTCCAGAAAATCAAAAACGGCTACACGCAATTTACCTTTTCCATTTTCTATTTGTATATATAATATGAAAAATAAAGATGGTTCAAAGATACTATGATGCAAGAATTCTGTGGTTATTTTCAGCAGAAATTATTTTTGACCTACGAAAAACTGGCTTTATTCCAAGTAAGACTTGCAATTGTGCTTTTCTTTTTCTGCCTCCTTTCCTTTCCTTTTATATCAAATAGCAACTTTCTCAGGAGAAACAGCCTTTTTCCATAAATGCAGATTGTTTGGGGCTTCCTGGATCACTGATCAATGCATCCTGTTTTTCATGTGGTTGCGAGGCGCAAGAGCGTGATTTTGAACTTGAGTAGACTCGGCTGTTGGATTTATCATCTGGAAAGAAGCAAGGACAGAAGCTGGCTGAGCCTCTGCAGTTGCTTCCACAGTGATTTAGTCCCTTAGTACAAAGCCAGTTCCCTTCTAGATGATAAATGAACACGGATGAAGTGGTAATTTTCTTAATTCCATTCTGATTAGCATTTAGGTAAGAATGTCAAGCTACCTGATCTTAGCCCAACCTCGAAGCCAGTTTCTCCTCCTCATTTTCCGATACCTTTACTAGGGCCTTGAGTTGCCCTTCTGAACTTTGGTGACATGTTAGTGCAACGCAGAGCGGAGCGCAGCCACTCCCTGAACGCCCTCCCCTCCACCTGTCGTAGATTAACTGCCGTGTGGCCATTTGTAAAAGTGGAGCAAATTCCGTGAAGACTGGATCAAAAAGAGATGGTTAAAGAAAATCAACAACAACAAAAGGATAGAATGCTACTCTCTTGTCTAAGAAATCATTCCATACATACCGCACAATTCACAGATCTGATTTTTGGCTGGTCTGGGACCATCCCTCACTAGGGAGACTTCAATAAAACCAAACTCTGCGAAGCCCATAGGATGATGATGTTGTCATTTAAGCTGTTAAGGATAACTGTACGGAGATCCAAAGTAACAGAGGACGTCATTTTATTGGCTGTCCACAGGAAGTTTGGTCACACAAGGAGGTGAAGACTGTGGGGGGTGTGGTACAACACATTACCTTGGCTGACTACTAAACAGAAGGTTAACTGATCCTGGATCTGATAAAACCCCTCCAGCCCAGGTGCCACCTACTACGTGTAATTAAGCCGAAGAAGCCGGCGAGAGACGGCACTGTCCGTTAGTCGCGGTTGGTCGCCCTGTCTTCCCATAAAACAGCACTCGAAAATTCACAAAAGTAAAAGAAAGAAAGAAAGAAAGCAGCACTTCCTTTTGAATACCAACAACACTGTAAACAGACTGTCGCGTGGCATGCAAATCCACATCTGGCCGCTTTTTCCCTTTAGGTTTTTGTTTGTTTTAAATTAACAAATGGAATGGCATGTCTATTTCAAATATTAGTAGCATAACACAAGTGCAATTTCAGTTCGGCCACGAGCGTCGTAAACCTTCCAGACGTCCGTCACAAGAGCAGCGAGCAGACAGTGGAACATCCAGGCATGGTCCTTTGCTCTGACTCTGATCGCAGCCCCGGAGGCTCCTCCCTCCCCATGCCCACCCTTCATATTCCAAATGCCTGAAAATAGCTACTTCTCTATTTTCAATATGATCAAAGCCGTCAGGGTGGGGAAGAAAATTCCAATAAAACCAAGCCGTCAGCACGGGGGTCCTGCCCACCTCTGTTATCGGAGGGGATCCATTTACTCTCCCAGTGTGGCCCCTGTGCCTCAGGACCTGGAGTCGTCCTCACCACCACGCCATTGGGTCACCAGAAAGTTGCTGTGGGGGGCACCCCGTCTGGCCCCTCCCACTGCCTGCAGTCACGGGGCGGGGGGGCCACATGATCACACGGAGCTGAGCTTCACCAGGCCACGCACTGAGTCCTCATGCAGAGAGTCCTGGCTGGCCAGGCCCAGGACGTGCATGGTGCGGCTGTGCGCCAGGGGGCTGCCTGCCAGCATCCTGGGCGGCGATGGCGCTTCCTCTGGGGTCAGGAACTGGTGGCCCACGTGCTCCTCTTTCAGAGGCAGTATGTCTGTGAGCACGGCCTCGGCGGAGAGGTTGGGCATGGAAGAGGGCGGTGTGGGCTGCCCGAGCGTCAGGCTGGCACAGGGCGTGCCCAGGCCTGGCTTTCCAGGCAGGTGCAGCTCGTCGCTGGTGAGGCTGGGCTCGCTCTGCAGCAGGGGCGTGGCCGCGGCCTGCAAAACGAATTTGGTGCTCTGAATGCACTGGTCTTGGTCGCACTGAAGAGCAGGAGGGAGCCAGCAAAGAGAAGGTGAGCCAAGATGGCACGGGGACGGGAGGGAAGGGGGCACAGGGGCAGGGAGAGGGTGGGGTGTGAGAGAGAGAAACTCGTTAGTGACACCTCACTCAGACAGGGCAGACAGCATGCACAGCAGCCCAGCTTCTTTTGGAGACACCCAGCATGTGATAAATATCAGCACACGGCACCTACATAAGCTGCTCCAACTAGCAGTCACCCACAGATGCCCAGGGAGTAACACGCAGCCTCAGGCTACGATGCTCCTGGCCCTTGTTCACAGACAGGACCTAATTTACAAACAATCCTGTGGACAGTCACAGCCTTCACGACTTGTAGCAGTCCGAGGCGGCTGTTTCTTGTGTGCTGAAAGCCACTTTTACTAAATTGCTTTAAAAATACAGGAGCCTGTACACTCACATTCACGGCAGCATTATTTACGATAGCTAAAAGGTGGAAGCAACCCAAGCATCCATCGACAGACAAACGGATAAACAAAATGTGTTATGTACAGACAAAGGAATATTACTGAGCCATGAAAAGGAAAGGCATTCTAACAGACTACAACATGGATGAACTCTGAGGACACCATGTTAAGCGAAATACACCAGACACAAAAAGACCAATACTCCATGATTCTACCTCTATGAGACACCTAGAATAGCCAAATTCATAGAGACAGAGAGTAGAATGGTGTTTGCTAAGGTCTAAAGGGAGGGGGAATGGGGAGTTACGTTTAATGCATGGAGTTTCAGTTTTGTAAGAAGAAAAGAGTTCTGGAGATGAATGACAGTGGTGGAAGCATAACAATGTGAGTGTACTTAAAGCCACTGAACTGTATGCTTAAAAAATGGTTAAAATGGTAAATTCCATGTTATGTATATTTTACCACACACAAAAAAAGAAAGAAAAATTCGGGGGCAATAGAAGCTGCTGAGGGTCAGATCAGACTGTTTGTAAAATCCTAGAATTCTCCTCTGCTAAATTTTCATCACCTCCAGGAACCATTAACTGAGCTTCTGTGACTTTTTAATTGGTGAAAGAGAATGCCAACACTTGAGAAGACACTTCCTTTTCTTTTCTTATTACATCCCGTGTCCTTTGCTTTGCTCACTGGGCCAAGGAAACAGCTCAAACACATTTCTAGCTGGTGGGACGTGGATCTCTGACACCTTGGTAACCCCTTCCCTTGAGCTACGGGCAAGTTTCAGAACAGCCGGAAGGTCTTGTGGCTCTGAGACCTTAAACGGGAGGCTGCGCAGTAACGGGTTAGAGGGTGTCAGGAGCCACTCTTCTGCGGGAAGGAGGAGGGTCAGGTGTGGAGGGCAGGTGAGCATATTGTGACTTTGCGCTCCAGCAATAAGCTAGGCGCTCCACTCTGTTCCTTCACAAGTTCTCAGAACAAACATGTTTCCCCTCTTTGCAGATGAAGACCCTGAGACTGGGATGGGTGGTGGCTTGCTCAAGACCTTATGGTGAAAAGCAAGGGCTGGATGCAGGATTTGGGGCTGGGATTGCTTTCCTGCAAACCTCCTTCCACGACTGCACATCTGACACATAGGCAGGTGCTTTAAAAAGTCCCCTCCTCTCTTTCTCGGAACTCTAGCGTTACTGCAGAACCGAGTCCTGACAGCTCCGTGATGGAGGTGCTTCACCGTCTTCCTGCCCCGAGGCACACCCAGAACCACGGTCACTCACCCACCCACGCCCGGGCGCAGAAGCATCCAGAACCAAGCAAGACCGGCCTTCAGGGGAAGAGAGAGGGTTCACCCTGGGGTCAAAATTCCTTTGGCGTTTATTTAATCTTCTCCAGTGTGTGTGTCCTTCCTAGCCAAATGGGTTTTTTCCTAGATCACAAGGGGTGGGCCTTCCCCTCTGCTGGAATCCGCCAAGCCTCCACGAGGAGGTGGAAGAGCCGTGGTCTCTAAGCAATGTTCAGCTTTTAGAAGTTCAGAGACCTGGCTTCCAGGCCGGAATAGACTCCCTAGCGAGCTCTGAGAGGGAAGGCGCATCTCAGGGGAGACCCCGGCTCTTCCATCATTGCTTCATCCTAGTCCAGGGAACTCAGAAACACAGGGGAGCCGAGGAAAGGGCTGCGGAGTGAGTGGAGACTGCTCAGATGAGATTAAAACTTTTGTTTTCCTTTTCTTCTGGCCCTGAGCTAACATCTGTTGCCAATCTTCCTCTTTTTTTCCCTTCCCCAAAGCCCCAGTGCATCATTGTATATTCTAGTTCTAATCCTTCTGGTTCTTCTATGCGAGCCACCAACACAGCATGGCTACTGACAGACAGGTGGTGTGGTTCCGCAACCGGAAACCAAAGTGGGGCCGCCGAAGCAGCGAGAGCACCAACCTTTAACCACTAGGCCATCAGGGCTGGCCTGAGATTAAAACTTTTTAATGACAAAGTGCTTGAAAGGGGCTGACTGCTGGGCATCAACTATCATTCCACGTATGTACATGCCCAATCATCACCCATATCATTTTGCCGCAGGATTTCTTTTCTAATGGGCGACTGCACCCACTTTCTGCTCCTGTAGGGAATTTCAGCTCCAGGACAGGGAGCCTTCTCGGGGAGATGCTGGGCAGCACAGCTGTCAGGCTGCAGACAGCTCCAGTCCACACAGGTTTGGCTCTGCTCTCCAACGCTGTCAGTTGGGTTCAGCACATAGGCTCAGGCTTGACAGTGCAGAGGCGGAGAAGAGCAAGCTTCCTGATTCAACATTCATCTTCTGGAAACTATCCGGGGCTTTGGAGATCTTATGCTTTGCAAAGAACGTTTTATGAAAATCACCACTTAGTCCCCTCACTGATGGAGACAGCTGGGCTTTCACCTTGCCTCCGTTTCCTCGGAGGAGCTCCGTCCAGCCTCGAGCAGGCGGGGCCCTGCCAAGGACCCCAGGGCTGAGAGGCGGCTGCAGGGGGTAGGCCCTTTCCTGGAGGACGGAGCCTTGTTCTCCACCTTCCTTCGGGAGCCCTCGCTCCTCCTGACACCTTCTGTCCAAACAATGCCCTTAGCCCGAGGGAAAGACGACATCACAAATTAGATTTGCTTGTCTCTGTTATCTGAAGAAAGCCTTTTTTACTGAAAACTAATTGGCAAATTCTATTTTAGGGATCAGCCCAAGTCCTTCTGATGGGCACTTACAGACTCACAGAGAAATACGTTAGAGGTCAGAGCTGGAGGCTTTCAAGGTCAGGAGGCACAAGCCTGCTGGGAGAGGTGAGCTCCCCTCTCTCTCTCTCTTCCTCCCTCTCTCCTGGTCCAGTGCCCTTTTCCTCTTCCCCATCACTCCTCTCAAGCCGTGCCCTGTAGCAGAGCTCACGGGCACCCACCAGAACCTTCTGGGGTAAAGCGGCTGCCAGCAGGGGTCTGTCAAGTTCTTTAGAGATCATGTTCCCCAGGAGGGTCCAGAGGAGTCTGACGTGCTTTACAAACTTCACGGTGCTGACGTGAACACGCCTGCAGCTGGACTCACTTTGAAGCTCTGATGCCCACGATCAAGGCCCCTTGCTTGCACAGCCCCTTGCATATTATTTTGTTTTGCATACTGTTTTCTTTTCTTAAAAAGGCGTCCAAATACATGACTCAGACCCCTCCAAACCTGGGTCCACTCCTGCACACACCCGTGGGTGCTTTCCTGTGGCTGCTCAAACAATTCACTAAAATCGTAACCAATCTGTGCTCACCTCCTGCCAGGACCCTGCGGAAAACGCTCTCCAGTTTACCAGGGGTGAAGATTAAGCATTTAAATACACAAAAGAAAAAACGTAGCCTAAACCTTTTGTTAAAAAAAATCCAAATGTAAGTCACTCAGAAATCTTCTAAGAATGACTATTTTGAACCCTGGCTTGTGTTATCCGACTTTAAGCACCTCTTCCGCATAGATTTGTTTAAACATTTTAAAAGATGACTGTTTCTCTGAGTATAGTTATGGATATTTCCTTTGCGATAGGGTCTGCTTTCATATTAATAATTAACCTACTCTCTGTCCCATGTCCCTTTCCCCCAGCTTAACTTGTGCCAGTGACATCTTTGAACACAGTTACTGGGACCACAAACCTAAGTGTCTAAATCCTGCGTGTATCCCATAACTTTGAAAATAATTCATTACATTTAAACTGATTTCTGTTTAGAAGACCAATCCCATTTTGGGGTACTCAGCGACCAGGTATTAACCATATAAATTTTTTAGTGGCTCATAACAGGACACTGGAACAGGAGACTATGGGTTTTATTAGATTCTAACCAAGGATATTCTACCCAGTGGAATTTATAATTCTCATTATATTAACTTAACATGTTTTGAACATCTTCTAGGCAAAAGCTCAATGACTAGGGGCTATCTGATTTTTTTGGAATGTCAGAGCTTGTCTTCATTTTGCACACTGCCAAAAGTCCAAGGAGGATGGGTTGATGGACCTTTGCGACTGCAATTCCCATTAGAGAACGTCAAGGGAGATATTTTCAGGGTTACTGTGGAGATGACCCATGAAACAGTGTTCTTACACCTCTTCCTCTTTACCTTTGCCTCCAATTCTTATTTGCCCATTTCTTGTTGATTTTTCTACTCAATTTTCTTTCTCTCTGGCCCTGTCAGTTCTCTTCTCCTCTTTTCTCTCCATCGTTTCCTTTCGTTGGATGCCCTCCCCCTTCTCTTTTTTCCCCTCTTTTCTTCTTCTTCTTCTCCCTTTCTCCTCTTCCCTCCCACCTCTCTCGTTTCTCTCGGCTTGACGTGTTTTAGGCCAGCATCCCGCCTTCCTGGCTTTTCATTCGAGGCCCTCCATCTTCAACCAGTAGAGGGAGACATCCCTGCTCACTTTTTCCTCTCACAACTTGGTAGCAAGGCTTATATTCCAGCCCTAACACCAAGAAGCCTTTTAGGTATATTTTAATTTATTTAATCAGTTATATAATCTTAAGGAAAAACAACCAAGCGCACAGATCTTGGACAGTGACAATCCATCTACTATGAACAGGAAA